AGTAACGCCGGATTGCGTGCGCACGTAGGCAGGGACCTCGCAGCCCGATGCCGAGGAATTTCTGTGCAAAACTCCGCTTGCTGCCGGGGGTAGGTGGTTTACTCCTTGTGCCCTGCAATTAAAAGTTAGATAGAAAACAAGCACTAGTTAGCGAGGAACGCTCCCGCAGGCCCCAGCCAGTGGCAGGAGGAGGAGGAGGAGGAGGAAGGCTGCAAGGTGACAGCAGGAGCGCTGCAAAAATGAGCTCCCGGTGCTGCAGAGGGGGTTGCGTTGAGCCCGGCGGTAGCAGCGTTAGCGAGCCGTGGTCGTTCCCGTCGCGTGCGGGGAGGAGAGGAGGTGCGCGGCGATCGCCGCCCGGCCTTCTCTGGTCCTCGGCCGGCAGGAGATGCTCGGCTTCTGGGGATGAGCTGCTCTTCCCCTCTTCCAAGCTCTTGTCATCGGTGTAATTGTAGGGTGGGCAGGATGGCTGGGAGAGCGTCGCTGCCTTGGTAGCCCCCCAAGGTCTATTCTTAGCCCTGCTGCTGCTCCCCGTGTGCCTATGGGTCACCCTCAGCCCTACCTCCCCGGCAGGAGAAGCTTCTGCCCAGCTCTGTAAGGAGGTTTCCAGCGTGGCAATGGAGAAAACGTTGTAAATTCTGAGAATGAGCCTGAAATGCAAGCGTCTCCGCCGGCCTGCAGGCAGCCAAGCGGAGAAAAAGGCTTCCGCACCTCTCCCGGGGTTCGGGCAGGAGCAAACTGCCACGTGCAACGGGTCCGTGCACAGGGTGAGGCGCAGAGATGTGTCCTGGGGTGTCAGAGAGCTGGAGGAAGTAGTGATGCTCCAGGATCGATATCGCCAGTGGGAACCTCCTTACGGGCTGACGATCGAGTCTGGGAATCGAAGGGAGTAAGACAAGACCGGGTGCTGGCGGCTTGCTGGGACCTGAGGCGCTGAAGGGGAGCGAAGGAGCGGTGGGGAGAGCTTCAGGATCGCAACGGGGGCAAGAGATCCTTGTCTGGGAGCAGAGCCCCTGCTTCGGCGGGATTCCGGCAGGGCTGACAGGAGCTGGGCTGGGGCGGTGGGATCGCTGCACCCCACGCCCTGCATCCCCCAGCCTCACCCCTGCACGACCTGCACCCCAAACACCCCCTCTGCCTGAGGCCTTGCAGCCCTGGGTCCGCGCCCTACGCTCTGCGCCGTGCACCCCGCATCCCATGCACCCCGCATCCCCCATCCCTCCCCTGCATCCCGCGCACCCCACATCCCCCATCCCGCACCCTGCATCCCGCATCCCCCACCGCACCCCTGCATCCCATGAACCCTGCACCCCCCATCCCGCACCCTGCACCCCGTGCATCCCCCATCCTGCACCCCACATCTCCCACTCCACCCCTGCATCCCGTGCACCCTGCATCCCCCATCCCGCACCCTGCATCTCCCATCCCACCCCTGCATCCCGCGCATCCCCGCACCCTGCATCCCGCGCACCCTGCATCCCGCACCCCTGCAGCCCCCACCCCACACTCTGCACCTCACCCTGCTGCACCCCCGTATTGCACCCGCACCCCTGCCAGTGCTTCGACACCGCCGCCGGTAGCCCTGACCTGTCACCCCAAGCACTGGGCTCACCGGATCCCACCGAGGCCAGCACCAGGACTAACCCCCCGCCCAGCCCCGCTGCCGGGACCAGGGGCCACCCCAAGGCCGCGGTGAGGGCAGGGAGAGCGGCGGGGAGCGCCCAGCTCCCAACACAGTCCAGCCTGCGGCGTCCCCCGGTGCCGGGGGCCTCTGGGCCCAGGGGTGCCCGCCTGGAGCCACTGCCCCGCTCCCTGCGACAGCTCTCAGTCACCAGCAGCTGAGCCGCCCCGGTGCAGGCGGCAGCGCCCGGCTCATGCCCAGGGGAGCGCGGTAGCTTGAGCTGGAGCTTCTCTTCCCGGCAGCGGCTGGCAGCTCTCCGCTAAATGGCTCCCTCTCCCCATGGCAGGATGCTCCCTACGCACCCGAGAACGTCCTTTTGGAGCCTGCGAGCCCCAAAGGGTGTCGGGACGGGGAGAGAGAAGAGCTGGGACCAGCGCCCAAGGTGGAGGAAAAGCACAAGAACAAAACTGCGACGCAGAGATATAATCCCAAAGATACGCCGACCTCCCGCGGCCGGGAAGCATCCGACCCCACGCGCCATCGGGGCTGAACCCCCAAGCCCCTCCAGGACCCACCCAGCCACAGCCAGTCTCATTTTTGGCACAGCCTCGGGTTTTTTTTTTTGCTCCACGATCCTCCTCCCTCTGCTGCCTGCGAGGAAACGTCCCAGAAACGCCAGAAAAATACCACGTCCTCTCTGCAAACTCACGGACGTTTCTGTCCGGACTTAAGGAGCTTCGACCTGGGTTTGCATCTCGCCTCTGTACCGCTCGCTTCTTTTTTAACAATAGGGGAAAGCATAATAGTTTATTTTAACTATGAAATATATTGCTATATTATAAAGGTTATTGTAACTTTCAATTATGGTTTTGTACCCAACCTGGTTGTCGGCAGGCAGCGACGCCAGCCTGCTGCCAAAAATGTCTGTTTCTGAGTACAGCCGCTGCTCCCGGTGAGGACGGAGGCCAGGGGCGGCAGAGGAGGGGCGCAGGACCCCGGCCAGAAAGGCTCCCCGTGCTCCCTGCCCGTTCCCCCCCAGGTATTCATTCCCGTTACCTGGAAGCCGGCCTTTAGCAGGTCCGGACCCGCGTAGCCCGGTGGTACCGGAGCTTGGCTTCTCCCTAGGGAAATTTTTGGAAAGACCTCCCCTCTCTTTTCTTCCAGGGTCTCAGCAGTTTCTGGAAAGCCATTCCCCATCCCGGTCATCTCCTCCAGCTGAAGGAGGGACTCAGCTTCCCGGGCACGAGCTGTGCCAGAGCCAAAATTCCCCCTTTCCCCCAGGATGGAGGCTCTCGTGGGAGAAGCGGTGCAGGGCGTGCTGCTTCCCTCCTCCGGCCAGGCTTTTGGCACAGGCAGGATCCAGGCAGGCTTTGAACTAGGGAATCACTTGTGCCTAGGAAAGGGTG